GGAATAGAATAGAATAGAATAGAATAGAATAGAATAGAATAGAATAGTATAGAATAGAATAGAATAGAATAGAATAGAATAGAATAGAATAGAAAGACAGATAGATAGGAATGATAAAGTAGATAGAATTAGATAGATAGATAGATAGATAGATAGATAGGTAGGTAGGTAGGTAGGTAGGCAGGCAGGCAGGCAGATGGGGGGGTCTGTAGTCCACCCTCTCTTTGTAACAGAGAAAATCTCCAATCAGGACCAGGATGTTACAACTTATCAACCTTCCTTCTAAAAACTGCCCCTCGTGAGACAGGCACAAGTGACCGATCGGACTGTGGTGAACTCACTATCTCTGGATCCGGGTGAGGAGAGCCGAGAGGACGGCTTGCACTTCAACCGTGGAGCAGGTACAAACCACGGGTTTCTTCTGATCCTGGAGGAGATCAGCCACATACTAGAAACCAAAGCAAGGATGCAGTCAGGCCAGGGATGATACAGCCGCTGTGCAAAATCTCTTCCTGACGACTGATCAATAAAGGGGAATATTGGTAGCTCAGGGTTGAAACAAGAGGTCCTGGGCACTCTCTGAGTTTGGTGGTTTCCTTGCAGAAGTTTTGTGACCCGACTAGGTAACATCTGTATGCGGGCACAGACTGTCTGCACACAGCAACAGCCTTCCAGGCCTTCGCATTTGAGAAGCGGAATTGGGTTTCGGCAAGGTCGTGAAATAATAATTTGCCAAAACGATCATCAACTTTTGCTGGCTGAGATACAGGGAGAACTGGGGGCTTACCTGGCCTTGCCAGTCCACGGCATTCACCAGGATCACGTTTTCAGGCAGCGCAGCATCCGACACGAGGATATGATTCAACTGGTCGTAAACGACCTTGCGAGGAATCTAGTGGAGTAAAGCAGACAGGTTTCGAAGGGCTGCCAGCCTTTTGGGGGTAGTCCAGGTAAGCAGCACAACTAGGAGTACCATCTGTGACTTTCTTGTAAGATTTTCACGAAATCTTCATCAAACGGGGATCCCTGAAGGTTGTTTTAAGTTGCTGTCTGAATGCTTCTGAAGCATAGCCAGTCAAGAAAAGCTGATCCAGAGGATACTCTCTTAAGCCAAGTCAATTCAACTCAATGAAAGGCAATGCAACTCAACTCAACAAGTCAACTCAGCTCAATACAAGGCAAGTTAAGCCAACTGAATTCAATATATCTCAATTCAATGAAAGGCAAGTCAACTCAACTCAACAAGTCAACTCAACAAGTCAACTCAGCCTAACTCAACAAGTCAACTCAGCTCAATGCAAGGCAAATTAAGCCAACTCAATTCAATTCAACTCAACAAAGACCAACTCAACTCAACTCAATACAAGGAAAGTTAAGCCAACTGAATTCAATACAACTCAATTCAACTCAACAAGTCATCTCAACTCAACTCAACAAGTCAGCTCAACTCAACAAGTCAACTCAGCTCAATGCAAGGCAAGTTAAGCCAACTCAACTCAATTCAATGAAAGGCAACTCAACTTAATTCAACAAGTCGACTCAATTCAAGTGAACTCAACAAGTTAACTCAATGCAAGGCAAGCAAGCTAAGATAATTCAACTCAACTCAATGAAAGGCACGTCAGCTCAACTCAACGAGTCAACTCAACTCAATACAAGGAAATCTAAGCCAAGTCAACCAAACTCAATAAAAGGCAAGTCAACAAGTCAACTCAAGTCAACACAAGGCAAACTAAGCCAACTCAACTCATGAAAGGCACTACCCAATTCCAGACCCACTCATCAGATTCGGAAGGACATTTCCTCATTCTAATGTGAAACCAGGGGTGTACAGTCCACCAGAGCATATTCCCCACCCCTTTCTTACTCCAACTGAAAACTGCTTCAAAAGAGGAACTTAATTCTGTTCCTACCATCATCATCCTTTCTCCCAAAATCCGCCAAAGTGGGACTGAATCACGGTAGGGGG